TGGCTGTCCCTCCTTGCTTTTACTCAGAGGTGAAAAAGAAGAAAGCTTCTGTTTTCCATTTTATGCTGAAAGCATGTGTTTTAATTAAGAGAGAATTTATGCAACCCCACACACCAGGAAGATTTATAAGTGCAAGAATGCAAATTTGGTCTATTTTTAAAGAATGTTATTGACAGGCACAGTTCAAAAAAACCTCACCAGGGAGCCTTTCATGGGATGCTGCGTGTTTCATGATGAAGTTTGTGCTTTTTTTTTTGCCATCATGCATATTAAGTTGCCAGAAATGATACTTAATTAATCACATAAAAGCCTGACACTTGAAAAGATAATGTGTGAGAGTCAAGATGAAGGTTTTTGTTGTCCACCTCTCTCTCCTTTTCTACCTCATTCCAGTTGAGAGAGAGCCTGGCTGGGAAGCCCACTTCCGCAGCACCTGGACTGTACCCATTCCCAAGCCTGGTGGCTGCAGCGCTGCTTCACCATGGCTGTGGCCTGACATGAGTTATACTTCCTTCCAGAGTGACAGCTTATCCCTCTGAAAACCAAACTATAGAGAACTTGGAACCGGCAGCCCACCGGTTCCTAACCTCCTCTAACCGAGGGACTTTTTTGGACGGATGCATTAGAAGAAACTAAATTGAATCTTCTTTTTGTGAGAAAGAGATCAATCTCCTCAGAGTCCAGGAAGCTAGGCATAGTAGCCAGAGACCCGTAGACGTGAACAGAGAGAAGGATCCTTTCTGTCTTGGATCACTCAGCACCGTCTTTTAGAACAGCCTGATTTTGAGCCTGTAGCTCCCAATGCCAGGAGAAGGGAAATGGAATCAGACTGTAGTTTGATTGTTGCTAAAGAAAGTGTCAAGGTTTGCTAAAGAATTTGTGGCTTGCAGTGAAGAGAGTAAGGCTTTAATTTCACTTCCCTTCAAGTTTGTCCTGAAGGTTAAATCGCATCACGTGTTTCTTGTTTCTATGTTAAACAAGGGTTGGAACTTGAAAAATTCCTGATTTGACTGCTAGCTGCTTGTTAGACTATGTGCTTACCGCTCAAACATCAACCAGACTGTAGTTCCTCAACTCTTATAAGTAGAGTGGACCCTGGGTGTGAAGGGGAATATGAACTTTCTAGAGTTTTCCAGTGCTGAGAAGGCACAGAGACAGGTAGATCTCTAGGGCTTGTTGACCAAGCAACCTAGCCTACTTGGTGAATTCTAAGCTAGTGAGAGACTCTGTCTCAAAAACACGAACAAACAACAAAGCAGGAAACATGGACAGTTCCTGAGGCTGACCATTGACTTCCACACGCACATGCATGCACACGCACATGCACACAATTCTCTCTTTCTCTCTCTCTCTCTCTCAAAACAAAACAAGCTACTAAACTCTGCCATTTTACAGGTAATTAAGCTAAGGCCAGAAAGTTAGTTAAGCAACTTGATCCAATTCCCCTACATGGATAGCAGTAGCAGACAAATGTCTAAAACACAGGCCTGTTGGTGCCCACCCAAGTCTACGCATGGGGATGAGGAATGGAACTGGATTCTTGTGAAAGAAAGAAGCATGTTAAAGAGTGGACTCAACAAGATGGGACTACGCATGAGTACCTTAGTGTGTGTGTGAAAGCAGCAAGGGCAAATAGAGAGAGAAGACAGGGACCAAAATCGAAGGGGTTGAAATGTGAACCTGAAATTGGTCAGCTGTGGTAATCCTAGGATTCCCTTTACTCAGGCGACCTTGAAATCTCCTTTTTGGGATGGTGGCATAAAGTTTTCTAGGAACATGTTCTTTCCTTAGTAACAAAGACTCAACCTCACCCGTGGAGAGAGAGGGCTGCAGAAGGGCGGTTGGCATGAGCACTGGCATCGCTGCCAACCTATGGTGGGCAGGCACAGATGATTGCTGCTGTGAGTCCCACTCACAAGTTGGAAACCTTGTTTCAGAAGCTTCAGGTGGGGGCCTAGGTTTCTGTAGGGTTTTGAAAACCCCCTTTCAGTACAATGACTATCTGCCCTGGTCCAAGCTATCATATATGGAGGCTCAGCTGGAAACCGCCAATATTTACTAAATACAGGCACGCATAACTAATGCATTTCAGACTTGAACATATGCCTGAAAGAAATAAAGTATTAGGCCAACTGAAAGATATAAAGTCCCACCTCTAAATAAGAAGCCATCTTGCAACTGATAGCTGTTGAGAGAGGGAAAATCAGTTGTCTTCAATAGAGTGGCACTTGGTATATCAACCAGACCCCAGAGCAGGACACATGCTCAGGAGCAGTTGACCAATACAAAATGAACCCCATGTTTGTTTATTTGTGTGTTTTTTTTGTTGTTGGTTTGTTCTTTTTTTTTAAAGAGAAGAATATGAAGTTGGGTAGGTGGGGAGGTGTTAGGATCTGGGAGGAGTTGGGGAAGGGCAAATAATATGATCAAAATATATTGTATGAAATTTTTGAGAAAAAAAAAAGAAAGAAAGAAAACCACCAGGCAGTGGTGGCGCATGCCTTTAATTCCAGTACTCGGGAGTCAGAGACAGGCAGAACTCTGTGAGTTCGAGGCTAGTCTGGTCTACAGAGCGAGTTCCAGGAAGGCTCCAAAGCCACAGGGAAACCCTGTCTCAAAAAACAAAAGCAAACAAACAAAACAAAAAAGAATAGAATACCCAGAAAAGGTTCTCGGCCCCAAATAAGAAATACATCAGTGTTCATCAGGATAACTGAGGTTGTTTCTTTTAGTGAGATCCTGCACACAATCAAAAAACTACTGCTAAATACATCAACACAGATGAATAGCAAAGAACTATGCCAAGCATAAGAAGTCAGATAAGTTGTATTCATTGTATGATTCCATCTGAATACAATAAATAATACTGGGTGAATGAAATCAAAGTAACAATTGCCTCTCTCGGGAATGGGCAAGGTACTGGAAACCTTTAATATCTCAACTGTGTAGTGGTTACACAGTTACATGGACATCATGTAAAATACTGAGCTGTTAACTTACTCTCCTGTGTACATAGATGACACATTGTAAAGTATAGAATTCATATTTACATTGCCAAATCCATAAGGCCGTTGTAAGAATCTTGTAGCTTTCAAACATATAAGATCAATAGAAAAGTACAGTCTTGTGTTACCATCAAACTGGCAGGCCACTGAAGCCAGCGTGATGCAGCACCTGTAATTCTGGTGACCCATCAGCCTTTGCAAGGCCTAGCCAAACACAGAAAGTTAGCGAGGACACGCTGCAGCTGCGGTGGCATTCTACTCAGCTTTGCACAGAGCTTTCCCTGACTGCTGATGGCGAGTTCAGTTTGCTCTGCAACTCTAGGAAGAGGGTCCCTGCAGCTGCGGTTTTCCATTCCATGCCCTCCCTTTCCACTCTGTTCGCCTCCCCGAGGAGACAGTAAACACCATCTGGACCACTGCATTCACCAGCCCGGAAACCCAAATCTCTTCTTCCCATCAAGAAAATTATGCTCAGCCTGACGTGCCCTCCACCAGTGGGAACCAGCCATGGAGCTTCAGCCAGCTCCAAAGTTTGCTGGCCCTGAATGAACACAGAAAAGTATTTGTGGTCATTAGTACCTGGGGGCGGCGGGGGGGGGGAGTGAAAAGGTAAGGTGCGAGGAAGATGAGGGTGAGTGGAGAATCCCTGTCTGGTCCACACAGTACCCTCATTTCTGAATCTTTCCTTTTAAGTCTCTGAGATATCATCTGTACTGAGCGGTGTACTTTAAGTAGCTTAGGATAAACACATGGCAACAGACACTGATAACACTATCTTTATTTGTCCATTACTTACCAAGGCCAGCTCACCTGAGTACGGTTTGTTCCTTTACAAAAAGAGACTCCAACACCACATGTATTAAGATGTAGGCCATTTTCTTCAGATTCTAAACTTTTAAGAAATGCACCTATGCTTTTTCCAGCCTACACTCTGGTCCTATGTATCCTTAACATATACCATATAGTTGAATTAACAGCTTGTAATTTCTGGTCTGCTGGACCTGTTTTTCTTACTTTAGCTATTTAGCATATGCTGTATCTGATAGTCTAATCATTTCTGTATTCAATCTTCAGAACATTAGATATGGTCAACAATGTATGTAAATACCCTGCAAATATTTCTTTCCTTGCTTGTTCAAACATGGGTTTCATTTTTTAACATGGTAGATGTTAATAAATGCATGAGAACGGTTTTAAGATTATGTCAATGCGAAATCACACACACACATATATATGTGTGTGCGTGATATATATATATATATATATATATATATATATATATATATATATGTTCACAAAGATATATTTTTCCAGAATAAAAGTGGATCCAGCCCACTAGGCTCCAAAGACACTGAACATAGAAGGGCAATAATAAAACTATCAAAATTAGAAGTCAGCCTTGAACAACACTTGCTTAGCCAGACCAAAGGGAGCAATCATATTCAAATGCACTGAAGGACAACTTAGAAAAATCAACACACAATTGTTCTGTTCAGACACACCTAAAAATCAGCTGTAAGAAAAGTTAACACTGTCCCAGGAAGACAGAGTTCTGAGAAATGGAGCCTATTTTTGTTTCTCAAAGATTTCACAGAGGGGCAGTGGAAACTTCTCTGTTTTCTGCAAGGTTCTGAATTGCTTCTAAGACACATTAGCCTGAGATTGAAACTATGGAGTGTGATTGTTCTTTTCACGACTCAATTAATTTTTTAGGGAAGGAGAAGACAGGATAGACAGCAATTTTTCTTCAGAAAAAAAAAAATGTCCCTTGGTCTCAGGCTTAGAGATTTAATTCTCATTTGTTTCCTCCTGTCTCCGCCATTCACTCATTTTTCTTTTCTTAAACTAATATGCCACACTCCAGAAGTAATTTCCAGAACAAAACCATGCCTGGAAGGGAGTTTGAATTTGAGTAAAACTTCCCTTTCCTGAAGGCAGCTCTCCTGTGTGGTCCACCACCCCAAGAGAGGACATTAACTTCCAATCAGTACTTACCTGTCTGCGGACAGTGCCGTAAGGGTGAAGACAGACACCCCCACTGAGGTAAGCTGGATAAAGGGGATCAGTTTGCAGCCGATCCTGCCAAAGAGCCATCTGTCAGCCAGGTACTTGCTGGCATCCACAGGGGCGCATGTTACCAGCAGCAGCAGGTCTCCCAAAGCCAGGCTGGAGATGAACAGGTTTGGTACATTTCGCATGGACTTGACTGTACAGAAGATCTTGATCAGGGTGATGTTGCCAATGAGGCCTATCACGATGATAATCCCATAAACTGCAGGAATGATATAAATGATTCCCGGGTGGAACCAGTTGTCCATCTTGGGGGGATTCAGACTTTGATTGAAGGTGTTGTTGCAGTACAGGAAAGAGTCCACTTCCAAGTTCAGGTGGGAACAATTGTTCAGAGCCATCTCAAGACCTCTCTCTTAAAAAGTACCTTTAAGATGCTGCTTCTTAACTTCTGATTTTGCAGTCAGGTGATGAAGTTAAGATCTGTGCTAGGCTCTTGATCCCCTTTAATAAAAACACTCTGAATGCACACACGCTGGTATTCCAAAATCTAGCTTAGTACGTTGATGTTGGTTCTGCCCCAGCCTCCACACCACCAGTGAGCAGCACAGTGTAAATGCCCTAAGTTAGCAAGCAACAGAAACTCAGCCCAAAGAAAAGCTTAAGATTAAGCACAATCTGTCCCAGCTCTTCCTACCTCCATTCTAGTCTGAGTCCCTCTGGCTGCAGTTTACTAAGAACTTTGGGATTGCTATTTTCACACAGCATTTCCCGTCTTTCCTGATATGTAGAACCTGAAGGTTTAAAGTGGGTAGAAAAAAACTGCACCAAGAAAGCCTCCAATCCTATAGGCAGGATGCTTTGCACGTCACTGGCTTCCCCAGCAAACGGCAGCTCTCCTGAGCTGGGGCTCTGAAGAGGAGCCAGGACCACGTATAGACAGCGAATGCCAGCCCCCTGCTGGACGCTTCAATCACTGCCCAGCTGCCGGCTTTCTCCAAATGAGAACCAGCCAGCAGATCGCAACTCCTGGGACTTAACAGAAAGATACCTTTCTTTGCCTTTTCATTTAAGCCAGCAGCACCTATGGTCGGTATTTAATAAATGCTGCTCTCTGCAGCCTGGAGCTATCTCTGATACTATCTCCATGTGTTCATATGTGACTCATGACACATAACACTCCCCATTTCTAATCTTTACTAATGCATTAGAATGGCACATCTGGATCTATGTGTGAGCTGTCCTACTTAGTCTATTTGGAAGAGGGACTGTTACTGACAATTGCACGCACAGAGCTCACACCATAAACCTTCAGCCACAGACCAGGAAAAGCAGAAGCACAGTGCACACGGACTCTTTTCTGAATATTTCCCAGGTGCCCATGTTCCTTATCCATGGTGCCAGCCACATGCTTAGTACTCAAAGATCAATAGTCTGCTTTTTTTCTTCTAATCTAAAAATCATATGAACTAGCTTTTGGTGTGGCTTTCGCAATTTTTGGCAAGCTTTCAATTTCCTCTGAACTAAACAACAGTTGTGAATTCTCCCAAGAAATGGGGAGGGAAGACTGGTGAAAGAAATAAGTTAGGGTTGAATCAGTGCTGAGAAAGACTCTATTAAAAATGCGATCAGAATCAGGCTTGACCTTTAGCTAGCACTAATAAATACATTATAAGGCTATACCTTCAAGATTTCTGTGGAGCCGGCCCTTCCTGAAAGCCAGTTAATAACAGACAATGCTAGCGAAAGGCTCATTTTTCAGGACCTATAAGGAATAAAGAAATGAGTGCTTTCTACTATGTTGGGGCCCACCAAGAAAGCTCCCAAGTGTGTTGTCGTGGACACTTGCAGCTTTTGATATCCAGGTGACTGCTGTACCCTTTTTGTGATATGAAAGGCTCCTTGCAGGCAGAAGACTAAAGCTACATGCTTGTAGGTGGAAGGGTTTCTTAGTGGAGTGCAGCCTCACTGTTACTGACTTAATAACCATGAACCTAGTGGTGTCAATCAGCCGCTAGCAGTACCACTTACTGATGCAGGACACGAGCTCCAGTCCTGACTGACCCCTCTCTTTTATTACCTCGGCACATTGCTTCAGCAAGTTACTTACGCATCTTCAGGTTCAAGTTCTTTATCTGTGGAGCGGGGATAATTTGTGAAGGTCAATAAAACCCAATCCCTGGTAAGACTGTATAATATTAATTCCATTTGATTAATTTTAGCTACTTATCACTATTACCATAATTACCATTTGGGGACTGACGGGAAAAGATTTGCTCTGGAACAGCTCAGAAGACTGATTGATCTCAAGTCAATAGACAGGAGTTCCACTCACACGAGGGAAACACGAACTCCTTTATTTACTTGAGGGAAATTTACTGCTTCCAGGCACTACTTCCTACACATGTAAGAGGCTGGACAGTGGTGCTGAGCCAGGCGGCCACTGCCTTTATACAATGGAAAAAAGAGCGACCACTTTTCTCCAGAAAATGTGATGCTTGATGCTGAAGCTTCGCTAAGTGTGTGCTAGAGCTTTCTGAACAGAGAAAAGGCAGCATGTGATTAGTGGCACAAAGATAGGGGATGGCATTGAGCACGGGAACCACTAGAAGCCCCTTTTTAAAGGTCACTCAAATTAGAAGAGACAGCGCAAGGAAGGTGCAACATGAAACACAGCTGGAGGCAAGCTTGTGAGACAGTATTGAAGCCTATGTTGTTGCTATGACGTTCTGCCTACACTGTTTGGGTATACACAGAGGACTTGCGGGCATCGCTTCTTGTTATTTCTTCAGACGCCTCCAAGTGCTGAGTCTGTCTCACTTCTTAGATCCACTTAGGCTATTAGTGATTCTTCCCATCTAAGCAGTTGTGGGCATGTGTTGGTTTCTCAGAGCTGCTGTTAGCATCATGCCTTCCACGGCAGTATAGACTGTTCTAACAGTATTTTAAGAGTGAAGGTATATTGAGGCTTGATATCTACTACTTTTCTAGATGCAAAGATGTTGGAAAAGGTTAGCCAGGGAATTCTGAAGCCATTTCAACTAATTGTCTATAAGGACTCTGTCCATCTCTGGTGTCATGCCGTCTTCCAAGCAAGTCCTGAGCATCCTCAGACCTTTGTTTAGCTTGTTGTTTAGTGATAAGCACAAGATGCTTGTGACTTATGCAAATGACATGGAACAGATCTCAAGCAGAGTCCCTGTCCTTGAGGAATTCATTGTCTCAATAGGATTGGAATATGACAATGTCTTTTCTTTTGTGTTGAGGTAATGATGTTACTTGTGTTTCCGTTTCCATTGCAGTCAACAGAATCACATTTTCTACTCTTCCAGAAAAATTACTCTTCTGTGAACTTTAATAGAAGAGGGACAAAAACGTGATAAAATGGAGGAAGGTAGCTGGATTCTATGCAATTGAAGAGAAGAGAGAAAGTTTCTTCTCATGCTTATATGCCAGTATTCTGGTTTTCATCAGCTAAAATTCTTGAAAAGACAACAATATATACATATACACACAACTAAGGGGAGCTAGTTACAGTGTTGGTGTGTCCAGAGCAGAGTGGGAAGTGCAAAATAAAATAAAGAGTATCGAATCTGCTGGTGACAACTTTTCACTTAAGATTTCAGGTTGGAGATTAGCCTATAAGGTACAAGTCTTAAAAAAAATTAGGTGGGCCTGGAAGATGACTCAGTAGTTCAGAGTGTTATAGTACTCTTGCCAAGGACCTGACTTCAGTCCCCAGCACGCGCATCTCACAAACTCCAGCTCCAAGGGGACCCATGCATTTAGCCTCTGCAAGTACCTACACCAACATCTGTGTACCCACACACATACATCCAGATACATACCCACATATACATAATAAACAAAAATGTTAATCAGCAAGATTCTCAGGGGTGCATTGTTAAAATACAACTTCTGAGGCCCTATCCTATATGTGCTCATTTTAAATCTCCAATGCCAGAACCCAGCAATCATTGTTTTTCATTTAGGTCTGCAGGGGATTCCAGATCTTTGCAGTACTAGGGGTTAATGAGGAAAACAGTATAAGCTCTAGAGATCATGTCAACATGGCAGTACTTACTGTGTCCTTTGTACTGAGGGAGGAAGAAAGGGGACATATTTAAGAGTCTGCGAGGGGTGCATCCACCCACTGAGAAGGTGGGACTGACCTAATGGGAGCTCACCAAGGCCAGCTGGACTGGGACTGACGGAGCATGTGATCAAACCGGACTCTCTGAATGTGGCTGACAGTGGAGGCTGCCTGAGAAGCCAAGGACAATGGCACTGGACTTTGATTCTACTGCATGGACGGGCTTTGTGGGAGCCTAGTCTGTTTGGATGCTCACCTTCCTGAACCTGGGGGGAGTGGGGAGGACCTTGGACTTCCCATTGGGTAGGGAACCCTGACTGCTCTTTGGTCTGGAGAAGGAGGGGGAGGGGGAGTGGGGGAAGGGGAGAAAAGTGGGAGGAGGGGAGAAGGTTGAAATTTTTAATAAAAAAAAGGAAAAAAAGAGTTTATGTTGTTGCTATGGGTTCTTGCTACCCAAGAGTAAATCCTTAAGGCAGCAACACGGGCATGGCCTCAGCACTAGGGGCACGGCTCAGATGCTTGAGGCGTTTGCTCAGGTCTAGCAACCTGACTTCAATCCTTGAACCCCACAAGGTGGCAAGAGAGAACTTACTCCAGAGAGTTGTCCTTTGACCCCCATACTGTATGCTACATTAGTGTCTGTGCATGTTCACACACATACAAAATAGAAAATAAATAAATAAATAATACAATCTTAGAAATGCAGAATCCTAGGCACTACCCCCTCCCCCGATAAGCTGCACTCTTCACTCTAACAAGATGCATGGAGGCATCAGGAATATCTGGGGCCAATGGTTAAGAAATCAAAACAGAATGAGAAATGGGCACGAGGCTGGAGGCTTGCTCAAGTTCAGCATGGAACCAGCAGCTGAACCACCTTAAAATTCAACTAAGAACCACTGCAGCTCTGTGCTTCAGTGTGGTAATGCATGTCTGTAGCCCAAACACATGGGAGTCTGAGGCAGGAGAATTAAGAGTTCCAAATTGCAGAACACATGAGGGGTTCTTCATACCACTGATAATGGGTTGAGAATTTCCTTGAGATTCCTGATAACAACCGAGAGTTGTCCCACGGTCTTAGACCACGTCACTATATTCATGAATAAGACTCTAATCACAAAGATCCACCTGCCTCTGCCTTCTGAGTTTGGAGATTCAGGGCATGTGTCAGTTCTCCCAACCATAGGATGGTGATTATGATAGGAATATCACTCTGAGAATAAAAAGCAAGGATAAGATGGGAGTCATTCTAGAGGGAAATGCTGAACCTGGTCTTGTGCCAACTGAATTCATTGTAGGAATGAAGGAAGGTAAGTGAGTCAATGGAAATGAGGTGAAGACAGACAAGGAAAGACTGAAGAGAACTGAGAAACCAGAATGCTGAATGTCAAATAGTCCGAACATACAGGGAAAGGGTCAAGAGTAGCGTGACCTTCAGCTTTGATGAGGTGATGCGCTGAAGGTCAGTGGGCACGGGTATGGTTTTGCTGGGAGGTTTGTGACAGCGGCACGGAGGAGCTGCACAGAGGACTGCGGCAACTCTTGCTTGAAAAGAATCAGAG